CATAGAAAAGAAAATATATATATATTATATATATAACGATTTATTTAAAAATTTTATAAGTTTCTACATCGATAATGAGCATTCTTTACCAATTTTATTTTATTTTACTTTTGCAGTGAAACCATACATTGATCGTACAAATCTGCAAGCTATAACAGTGAAAGTCGGCCTCACCGTGACCCTAGATGTGAACATAATTGGCGAACCACCACCAAAAGTGACTTGGACTTTCAAGGAGAAGGAACTCGTGTCAGATGATACGATACGAATCGACAACATTGATTATAACACTAAATTCTTCATCCTGAAAACTAAACGCGCGCACACCGGCAAATACGTGATTAAGGCTAAGAACGAGGTCGGCGAAGATACCGCCGAGGTAGAAATTACCGTCCTCGGCAAGCCTAGCAAACCAAAGGTAATCTAATTTTTTAACTCCGGACATGTAATTATAATTCGCATGCATAGAATATTTATAAAAAAGATTAAAATGAAGTGTTTAAAATTACAATAATTAATTAATTATCCATTAAATTCAAAAAATGATATATTATCTTCTAATTAATCCTTTTTTTATAATTCAGGGTCCGTTGGAAGTGACTGATGTAAATAAGCATGGCTGCAAGCTTAAGTGGGACAAACCGGAAGACGATGGCGGCTCACCAGTCGAGTATTATGAAATCGAGAAGCTGGATCCTCTCACGGGACAATGGATACCCTGCGGTCGCAGCACCGAGCCCGAAGCTACCATCACCGGACTGCAAGAGGGCAAGCCTTATAAATTCCGCGTGAAAGCCGTCAACCGGGAAGGAGAGTCCGACGATCTGGAGGCAGACAAGTCTATCATAGCCAAAAATCCGTTTGGTACGTATATATAGAGTATAAAATATCAAATTTGAAATCTACGATTATTTGGAATAAAAAGCCAGAATCTTTGAATATTTTTACACGACATTTTACACACTTCTTTCTTTATTTCAGACGAACCGGGCAAGCCCGGTAGACCGGAACTCAAGAACTGGGACAAGGACTTTGTCGATCTCGAATGGACTCCGCCCAAGGATGACGGAGGTGCACCGATCGAAAAGTACATTGTACAGATGCGAGACAAAGAGGGTAGACAGTGGGTGGATGTCGCCAAGGTCTCGGGAGATCGCACGGCCGCTAAAGTGACCGACGGTATCCAGGAGGGTCACGAGTACGAGTTCAGGATTGTGGCGGTCAATAGAGCCGGACCTGGCGAGCCCAGCGACACTTCGAGGAGCGTCGTCGCCAAGCCCCGATTCTGTAAATAGATAATATATTTATTCATCTTGTGCTTAAATTTATTTATCAGATTTGATTATCCAATTTTATATTTAATTTTAATCAATTATAATAATATAAATGCCTGTTCCTGTGTGCAGTGGCACCGCACATCGATCGCAAGAACCTTCAGAAGAAAGTCATGCGAATCGGCCAAATGCTGCGGCTCGAGGCCGACATCAAGGGCGAACCGCCTCCGGTCGTCACGTGGAAACTCAAGGACACGGTGTTGAAGAGCATGGACCGACTTAAGATCGAGAACGAGGATTATCATACTACGTTCATCTTCAGTAAGCTCCAGCGCTCGGACACCGGCACTTATACCGTCATCGCCAAGAACGACAGCGGCACCGATCAAGTTGACGTCGAGCTTCAGGTTTGTTTACTTACGTGAATTAAATCCTATAAATATCGCTCATCAAATATGTTTAAGTAATTAATCTAATTGATGTTGTTTTGTGATAATCATCAGGTGCTGAGCAAACCCAGCAAACCGAAAGGACCGCTCGATGTGTCCGACGTCACGGCCGAAGGTTGCAAGCTGAAATGGAACAAACCCGACGACGACGGTGGCGAGCCGGTTGACCATTATGTCATCGAGAGAATGGATGTAGATACAGGACGTTGGGTACCATGCGGTACCAGCAAGACACCGGAGGCAGATGTTTCCGGTTTAAACGAGGGCAAGGATTATCAATTCCGTGTCAAAGCTGTTAATTCCGAGGGCGAATCCGAACCTCTGGAAACGTCGACACCGACAACCGCGAAGAATCCTTACTGTGAGTAACTCCGCTTATTTATATTCGCGATTGTTCCATTAATTTCTTTAATTTCTTCTTTCTTTATCAATTTTGATTTTGCAATAATCAAATTTGTTTTAAAAATTTCCAACATTTTCTTTGTTTAGAAAAAAATATTTACATATTAGAATTTATATTCTTCTGTAAAAATATGCAAATTATAAAAAAAAGTTTTTCTTATATACATCTTATAATATTTAAATATTATTATACTATCACATTATTTATGCAGTTTTAATTTTTTATTATAGCCGAGCCCGATGCGCCCGATAAACCCGAATTGAAAGACTGGTCGAAGAATCATGCAGACTTGAAATGGAAGGCCCCGAAGAAAGACGGCGGCGCTCCCATAGAGAAGTACATCATCGAGAAAAAAGACCAGTACGGCAAATGGCAAAAGGCCGTAGAAGTTCCAGGCAACAAGACCGAAGCCAGAGTGCCAGATCTCATCGAAGGTCAAAAGTACCAATTCCGAGTTAAAGCTGTGAACAAGGGTGGTCAGAGCAAGCCCAGCGAGCCCAGCGATACCTTGACCGCCAAGGATCGTTACGCCGCGCCCAAGATCGACCGCACCAATCTGAAGGACATCACGATCAAGGCCAGTAACATTATTCGGCTGGACGTCAAAGTCACAGGCGAACCGCCGCCAAGCAAGACCTGGTTCCTTAACAAGGCCAAACAGGAGTCTGGTAACGTTCTCACCATCGAGGTGGAGGACTATAAGACCAAGTTCGTGATCTCGTCGGCGACCAGAGCGCACTGTGGCACGTTGACCTTAAAGGCGGAGAACAGCTCCGGCAAAGACGAAGCGTCTATCGAGATTCTTGTGTTAGACAAGCCGAGTAAACCCGAAGGACCGCTCAAAGTATCCGACGTGCACAAAGAAGGTTGCACCCTCAAGTGGAATCCGCCCTTGGACGACGGCGGCGCGCCTTTGGATCATTATGTAGTCGAGAAAATGGACACAGAGACCGGCAGATGGATACCGGTCGCACGAACCAAAGAACCTAACATGGTAGTGGAAAATTTGGTGCCCGGGCAGGAGTATAAATTCCGAGTCGCGGCTGTGAACGCGGAGGGCGAGTCCGAACCGTTGGAGACGGAGCATGGAATCATCGCTAAGAATCCATTTGGTAAAATCTGACTCTTTTCTCAAATAATTTTTCTCGATAATATATTAAAATTTATTCTTTTATTCAATTTTTAATTTTTAAACTTATTTTATTAAAATTTTATGCGATACAGAATATTATATATAAGAGCAGAATTTTTATTTTATTATTTTTATTATATATACTTAGTCTTAGAATAAAAAATATTTTAAATTATAATGAGGACAAATTTTATATATATAATTATTTTCTTATAATTTCCGAAAAATTATATTTGCGTCTTTCAGACAAATAACATTAATTTTATTTTTGCAGATGAACCTGGCGCACCAGGACGTCCGGAAGCGACCGACTGGGATAAGGATCACGTGGACCTGCGATGGACTCCGCCGTTGAAAGACGGCGGATCTCCAATCACCGGATACGTGATTGAGAAGCGAGAAAAGGGCGCGCCTAAATGGATCAAAGCCTGCGAGACCGGACCGGATTGTAAGGGTCGCGTCGACAATCTCGACGAGGGTGTCGAGTATGAGTTCAGAGTCAAAGCCGTTAATGCCGCGGGACCTGGCGAACCATCCGATGCCAGCAAACCCATCACCGCCAAGAGTCGAAGACGTAAGTTTTTAAACTCATTTGCAAAGTTAATTTTTGCTAAATTTTATATTTTATTTATATACATATTTTATATTTATTAATTTTTTTAATCTTAAAAAATATTGTTCTTTAACAAAAGAAATTTTATACCCATTTAAAAAATATAATCAATTTTTCAAATCGTATCATTCTTTAGTAAAATGATTCATTTCAACCAATCATTTAACAAAATTCCTGTAAAAATATTTCGAAATATAAAACTTTTAAAATATATTAATCGACATTTTAAAATATATTAATAGACACGATGACTGTATTTATTAATTTTTATTTTAATTATCTTTTGATTTTTGCTCTGCAGTTGCACCGAAGATTGATAGACGAAACCTGCGTGACATAACAGTGCGCGAGAACGAAGCGTTTCACTTTGATGTCAAGATCATCGGCGAGCCGCCGCCAGACGTCACATGGGTGATCAACAACAAGAGCATTCAGCAGACCACACACCGCAGGATACAGAACGTACCCTACAACAGCAAATTCTTCAATGATAAGCCCGAGCGCAAGGATAGCGGCACTTACAAGATTACAGCGGTCAATCAGCACGGATCCGATACCGCCGAAGTCGAAGTTACCGTTATCTGTGAGTCAGCTTTTCTATATAAACCTCTCAGAGGCTAAACTAATTAACTCCATTTTTCATAAGTTTTTTAATTTTAGTATCAGAGCACACACATAATTAATGTCCTGGTGCCAAAATTAAAGAATTTACAAAAAGTAGAATTAATCAGTTTGGCTTTTGAGAAGCTCAAATGCTAATATTTTATATATAAGTTCTTTAATTCATTGTAACTAAAAAAATAATTATTATTTTATCATAAAGAAATTTTATCTTACAATCTATTTTGCTAAATATGTATTACAAGTATTTATCAAAATGTTTGATAAAAAAAATAATTTATAACTAAATATATATATATATATAAATTGTAATACGTATATTAATGATTTAAATTAATTGCAATTATTTACCAGCCAAACCTGGCAAGCCGGAAGGACCACTGGAGGTATCCGATGTGCACAAGGAAGGATGCACGCTTAAATGGAAGAAACCCAAGGACGACGGTGGAGAACCGATCGAAGGTTACCTTGTGGAGAAGTTTGATCCGGAGACCGGAGTCTGGTTACCGATCGGGAAAACCACTGGACCCGAGATGAAAGTCGAGGGTCTTACACCTGGACACGAATACAAATTCCGCGTCAAGGCACTCAACAAGGAAGGAGAATCTGAACCACTGGAGACCTTCACCTCCATCATAGCTAAAGATCCGTTTAGTAAGTGAATCTTTTCTCAATATCCTTGAAAAAACAAACAATATTTAATTTTTGAGTATTATAATTAATTAAAAATATAATTAATCATATTTTTTAATATATTTTTGCTTTTAACTCTGTAATTATTTTGTAATCTGTAATAATTGCTAATTTTATCTGTAATTATTCTTTGTAGCCGTTCCAGCTGCACCTGGAGCACCAGAGCCGGTCGATTGGACGGCTAACCAAGTCGAGCTTGCTTGGAAAGAGCCCGTCAGCGACGGCGGATCACACATCACAGGCTACATCATCGAAAAGAAAGATAAATACAGCACAATGTGGGAGAAGGCTTTGGAGACCGAAACACCGGTCACCAAAGCTCTGGTGCACGGTCTGATAGAAGGCAACGATTATCAATTCCGCGTAATCGCCGTGAACAAAGCCGGCCAATCTGAACCCGGTGAAGCTAGCAAGACGTTCACCGCTAAACCACGTTTCTGTAAGTATTTGCAAATTTAATTTACATTTAGTTCAATATTTACTTTTGATATTTCAATGAGGTAGTTCTTTTCCTGAAATATACAATAAGATTATGGAAATAATATTAAAGATATGTGGTTATTAATTAAATGGAATATCATTATTATTTTTTTTGCGAATTTTAGCTTTGAGTATCTTCTTATATATTACAACACTATTTTTTATATTTTTGTGATATATAATTTTATTTTATTATATTTTATGCAATCTTAATTTGTGATAATTTGTACATTATGTAACAATTATGACAAAGACTATTGTCTTAATAATTGACCCACATATCTAACAATAAAATATTAATTGCGTAAATGATTAATCTGTAGACAACATCCTTGCATCGTTGCCATGGAACGTACGCGCGTCTAAAAATAATGCCGATAAAACGCATGCTTGTTTAAATCTGTAATTGGCATCTAATTATTGATTCTCTAATCATTCATCGCAGTGGCCCCGAAGATCGACAGGCGCAATCTGAGGGACGTTACTCTCTCCGCTGGCTCGATGCTAAAGTTCGACGCCAACGTGATCGGCGAGCCACCGCCCCATATCGAGTGGCGTTACGGCGCGATACCGCTTCATTCCGATCGCAAAGTGCAAATCGACAACAGCGACTACAGTACCAAGTTCAGCATACGTCCGGTGTCGCGGGACGACAGTGGCGATTACACCGTCACGGCCAGTAATTCATCGGGCAAGGACTCGGTGACGGTGCAGGTGACAGTAACGGACAAGCCGACGCCGCCTGAGGGTCCGCTCCAGGTGTCGGACGTGCACAAAGAGGGATGCAAGTTGAAGTGGAAGAGACCTAAGGACGACGGTGGCACGCCTATTGAGTACTACCAGGTGGACAAGATGGACCCGGAGACCGGATGCTGGGTACCTTGTGGTCGTTCCACCGAGCCAAGTAAGTAATCGTTAATTTGCAGTAGATTCTCCCCTATTGGATAATTTCATTTGCAGTCATAAAATCACAGTTATTGAATATTTGATATCATTAAATCCTTTGTTTAAGTAAAGTAATCAATTTTTCTATTATTATTTATTTAACATTTTTATACATATATAGCAAAACAATTTAAAATAATTCAAATTATAATTAAAAAAGTTACGTGTAAGAAATATTACTTTTATTTTTAATTTTTTTAAATAGAATATTGTACATACCGCGATCTCTTTAACTAAAAAAAAAGCATGCGTGACTGTGAAATAATCGACGACGTTGTATTCTTCCCCTTTTTATTGCATCGGTCGATTAGATATTCTATAATTTCTTTTCTGTAGCATAAATTTCAGTGCGAATTATTTTAATAACGCAAAAAAATGATAAGCAAAACACAACCGTGAGATCGGAACACGTGCAATTCAATTAATGTCTCCGTAAGATGTGTACGGTTACACGATCGATATGGCGCTGAAAGTACTCCGTAAATATATGCGTTTTTTTTCCATGAGTGGACAACTCTTTGCACTACAACCCCATGCAAGCATTTTCCCTTCTTTTCGAAGCCGACACTTTATTCCAATTTATACACGCATATAAGATAAGTTGAGTCTTCGAGAAAAATATTTTCTCCTCAGCTTTGAATATTTTGGTGTCGGATCTATTCGTGAAGTTCAAAGATAATATAAAAATTGAAGTTAATAAATAAAATAATTATATATTTTTATGTAAAATAATTATATATTTTATACTTTATCATATTAAAAACACGTTATATGCACAGTATTTAATTTTGATGTGTGGTAAGGATATAATACGCAATAATATCTTGAACTGAATTATTTTGCTCCTCGATATCTTTCTTTGCATGGAAAAATCTCTAGCTCTAAAAATAGAAGTTTTTATTTTTCTAATACATAAATATATGAATAATATTGTTTATTTATATATATATATAATGACTATACTCTTACTGTGTTTTTAATTTTAATTCCGATTATTATAATCTCGTTATCGCATAGAATATATGACTGTAAAATAAGATACTGAGGTCTTCACTAGCTATAATGAAAAATATCCCATTTATATGCTTATAATATATATGCTACTTTAGGTATATATTCTATTATATTCATATACCGTAGCAAAACACTCTATAGATGCAATAAACAGTCCACCGACGTTTAAAGCAAAATTTCTCGAATTTCTTTGTAACAGGAACAATATCATTTTCTGTAGATGTAATGGAGCTACATACCATCGAACGTTATACCTAGAAAATGAATTATAAACGACGAATCTCTCGATAAAATCTTTGAGATGCATCGCAAAACGGTTTTTTTATCAGTAAATTTCATAAATGCTTGTTGTGCAGAGATATCTCAACATTTTTTTATGTAACAATATGAGTTATCATACATGCTGTGTTGTAGGTATGTTTCTCTTACACGGTAACAAATACGTGGTGATTGTAATTTATTATAATCTGACCGATATGGTTGGATAGGAACATATACAAGACAACGACACTTGCACATATAAAAGGGGGTATCAATTCCTTGACATCCATTCCGGATAATGTAAAAATCTGAAAAATCTAAGACAAATCTAAAATTTTTACAGCAATAAGACAGTTCAATAAAAAAATAACTTTTTTCATACATGAGGAAAAAGATGATCCCCATGACGAAAGAGATGATTCCCATAATGTTTTAAACGCTGAATATGATTCCTGCTCTCAAATTGTTATATCACAACACGTTACAATTTGAGGTTTTTCACAGTTAAAATTGCAACAAGAGTTATCTTAATATAATTTTAATATATTTTTAACTTTATGGAAGCCATTGAGCGCTTCCACACACAAAAGATTTAACAAAAATAGAAAACTTACTCGAAATAGATTGAGGCTCATGGCGCCTACTCCAAATACTATTAAACAGAACATCATTGCCTGACAATTGGATATCAAGAGAGTGGACAATCTTTAAAAAATAAAGATATATTACTATGCGTATATAGCGCACGCATATTATCGAGTATACGAACTTCATAGCTTTTCGATGAATGTCCACAGCGCAAATTAAACGCTTCAATATCAAAATATTTTTTCTAAGATTAATATTTTGTAGCATATTGACGTTCATTGCACATTCGATACGATAGCTACAAATAATAATTTGTCTGGATCATTATATTGTAAACCACCGACGGATATATGTATGGCAATGGCGTTTAGACGTTGTTCACTATTTTGTACAGACTCTACGCGGGTTCTAGCGAGTTTGTTTTCTGATTATCGATTTTAATTTGGAATTTGACTACAACAAATGTTGTATGTGTCAAGTTTTAAAATTTCAATGTAATTTTTATATATTTTTGTCCAGACTGAAGATGGATCAAAAAACCATCCGAAATATACATTTTTAATACATATTTATTACTAAAATTTAACAATAATAAGTTCGCGCATCAATATCCCTTGGCTCTTATTTGTCAGTTTTTTTCATTTAATAATGATTTTTGTTGTAATGATTATTTAAAAGAAATTATCAAATAGCGTAAATTTAATTATTAATTAAATTTTAATGATTTTGTTTAAATATTCGTTTGAAAATGATAAATTATCTGAATCTTTACAGCGTCATTTTTGCATTTATACCTGGCAATTTTAAACATTCCACAAGTATGTTGAATATACGCAATGAACATTGTTCCTATCGCTAACGTTACAATCGTTCCAATGCATACAGATGCAATGTTGTGCAGCAATATCAAATAAAAATATTTCTCTTGATCGATAAAATATTCCGTTATAATCAGCGGATGATGTGATCGAGACGCGTTTGGCGATAAAACGTTGAAAATATTCGACCAAAATGACGCAACGGTGAAAGCCGATACGCTGCAAACAGCAACTACTGAAAAAAATATTGAAAAGAGAATTGTTATTTACATTCTCCATATATAAGTTTTCTAAGTTTATTTACACGTTATCTGATACTTTCTTACATGCATGTGTTACAATCTAAACTTTAATATTCTTTCACATCCATGATCGATTTTATTGTGCAATTAACTGCTACTTTGCCTTTTCCACCATTTATTCGATTTTAAAACAGTTATTGATTATTATGTACGCAGAAAAATTATTGTAATTGGTCAAAATCGATTTTCCAAAGTGAAATATTAACAGCTCTTATGTGTTAAGAAGAGAAACCGTGAAAAATTGTACGTGAAAAAGATTATTTCTTACTTGTAAGTGCAACGGTATAACGCTTGCCATTATATCCATATTTGTTTATAATAGCAATTTCGTTTGCGTCTTTTAATTTATTACATATATGCAGTAGTTGTCCCAGTATATCCTTCATCTGTTTCAGCAATTTTATATCTTTTTTTTTTATATGTATATAGTATGTAATAATGTTAGAGAAAACATTGCGTAAAAATTTATTTGACAGGAATGTTTATTCTATCCAACAAGTAAGCTATTAACTTACAATTTCGATTTTAAGATAAAACAAATTGTATTTTATCACAAAGAGAATAAAGATAAATACGAAAGATAGAACTTTGGTAGCGAGATCCGGAGTACATTTTTGTGTGACAAGTGTTGTACACTGCAAATAGTAATTTTATTTACAAATTTACATTGAAAAATTATACTTTTAAATTCATAAATGTGCGTACGTTCACACTCTCACTCACATTTACATTCACACACATATACATATGAATGAATTAGAATGCACATATAAATACAAAATTATATATAGGATTATATATTATAATTATATATAATATTATATATAGTATATATGTGTATTTCAATATTAATTTTGCATATGTGTGCGTTTTAATTCTTATATCTATATAATTGAACTTTAAGCACAATATGTGTTATACAATTATAATATAGTTGACATAATAATTTTGTTAATCGTAATTTTGTAAATTGTGATTTTTAAATTTTATGGTAAAAAAGACTGCTTTGCAAAATAATTTATCATAATAATACTATTATAAGTTAGTATATTAGAGTTTACCTGAAATATAACATTTGTCGTCAGAATACAAGACAAGATAATAAATTGAAATCGAGTAAGATTCGATTGTTGATAGGGCCACAAACCAATAGCGAGCAGAAGAATCCTATTCATACTAAAATACTTAGTCTCGGTGTGAATCATCTTTTTGCAAGATCTGAAACGCTATATAACTTTGCAATAACTGAAGTAGCCGACAAGAATTACGCTTCTCCCTTCCTTCTTCTATTGATCGATCAAGTATTATTTACTTTCCTCTGGTATAAATTTTCGCACAAATTACTTAATTTCGTATAATGTGAGGCGACACAAGATATTTTGAGAACATTCGCATTTTCTCAATAATAAATAGTGTTTCTATAAAGTCTAAAATGTTTCTATAAAGTCCCTAATTACGCGATCGATTTGATAACGCGGGGAAATTGAGCAAATGTTTTCTTCTCATAAGAAAAGAAGAGAAAATATTCGTTGAGAAGATTACTTACACGTGCAAAAGTCGCGCACGCGTAATCGCCACTTCTCTTTTACCACAATTTCACATGCTTCATTTCATTGCGTGCATTCGTAGCATACGTTTGCTCCTCGAGATGAATGTCGTTCAGTTTTGAGTATTGTACTATCAAACTTATCTATAATAAAACGTATATGGTAAAACGTGTTATATTTTTTAAGACGAATTGATCAGATCTGCGTACGACATTTTCAAAATTTTCCAAATTGACGATGTGTGGACGCGGTCAAGATTTTGATATTCTATGGATTACATTTTTTATAAAATTTATCACTGAGGTAATATTATTCCCCCAAACGTACTTTTGCTTTTTTTATAAACTTTCTAATTTTACAGCACATATATTAATTATTAATTATTAAAAATTATATTACACATATATAATTATTAAAAATTAATACTGAATATACGAACTATATAAAAGATAAATATGTATTTTATAAAAAAAGCGCTTATTACTTTTTTTATTTTATTGATAAAAAATTTTTTGTTTATAAATTCAATATCTTAAAATGTACATAATTCAATCTATATACATGATTGTGTATTTATAATAAGAAACGTTAAATATTAAATTATTTATTATAGATCTCGAGGTGACAGGTCTAACACCTGGCAAGGAGTACCTCTTCCGGGTATCCGCAGTCAATGCCGAGGGCGAATCGAAGCCTTTGGAAGCGGAGCAAGCAATAGTAGCCAAGAATCCATTCGGTATATTAATCAAGTGTTATTCTTTAAATCAAACAATTAAATACAAAAAACATTGCTGCAAGTACAAATTACAGAAATATTTTTTACTCTGAAAGAATCTAGGAATATATCAAATTGATCTATCGCATTTAATCGCAGACGAGCCGGGCAAACCGGGTGATCTTCAAGCCACCGACTGGGACAAGGACCATGTCGATCTCAAATGGACTCCACCGGACAAAGACGGCGGTTCGCCGATCACCGGTTACGTAATCGAGAAGAAAGACAAGTACGGTGAATGGGAGAAAGCGCTGGAGGTGCCCGCGGACGAGACTTCCGCCACCGTGCCGGATCTTATCGAGGGACAGCCGTACGAGTTCCGCGTGCGAGCCGTGAACAAGGCTGGCCCGGGCGAACCGTCGGATGCCACTCCGACCATTATCGCAAAACCGCGCAACCAAGCGCCCAAGATTGACCGTACTAATCTGATCGAGGTGAGAATTAAGGCCGGCCAGAACTTCAGCTTCGACTGCAAGGTGACGGGCGAGCCGCCGCCGACGACCAAATGGATGTTGAACGGCAAGGAAGTCCGGCCGACCGATCGCGTCAAGGTGAAGCACGTAGACTACAACACCAGTCTGAACGTGCGAATGGCCACGCGAGCGGAATCCGGCAAGTACACCGTCATCGCGGAGAACATTAACGGTCGAGACGAGGCCTTTGTCAAGGTGACCGTGTTGGATAAGCCAAGCCCGCCTCAGGGTCCACTACGTACGTCCGACGTGCACGCCGAGGGTTGCAAACTCTCGTGGAAGCCGCCGGAGGATGACGGTGGACAACCGGTCGAGAAATATGTCGTGGAAAAGATGGACGAGGCCACGGGACGTTGGGTGCCAGCTGGAGAAACTGACGGACCAGAAACAAATCTGCAAGTGGAGGGTCTGACGCCAGGGCACAAATATAAATTCAGAGTGAGGGCTGTCAACAAGCAGGGCAAGTCTGAGCCACTCACCGCTATGCAAAGCACTGAGGCGAAGAATCCCTTCGGTAAGAAAAAAATTTTTGGAAGTTATAATTTTATATATTTTTTTTTTTTTTAATATTTTATTAAACATATATTT